GCCTGGTTGGTTATGTGCTCCTCTACACATATTTGTTGTCCAGTTTTAATCTTCAGTTCCTATGAAGGTGTTTCATGGGCTTCAACCGGTCCAATGGTACCATCGAAAGTTCATGCTACCTCTTTACTCAGGAATTTCCAAGTGGGTTTCCGTCACCTCGGTTTCTTAGTCTTCTATGCCCAGTGGACTTATCATGGGTTTGTACCGAAGTCTTATACAACACCAATAACATTCCTCTAAGTACGTGTAACGTTACACTTCGCATAGATGCCTTGAGCTTCCAAAGCCGGGGGACCCGGCCTGGTGTACCTGGGTAACAGCCATATGAGACCAACCGATCGACAGGAGATAGTTATCATAACACAGATATAATTTCCAAATTTCGTCGTAGGTGGGATTTGAACCTTATACCTGCCACTTGGAGGATAACAACCCAACCACTACACTAGGATCACCATCCTCGTATTTGAGTATTACTAAATGTTTGCTAAAATAAATAATCTTAATAGAATTTATAAAACTGCTATTTACAACTTTTATAAAATTGATATAGAAATAAATTATATAATTGAATTAGAAAGTAAATTAATTTTTTTATTTTTAGTATACACATGCATTTAGATATGTAATTAAAGAGTATAAATTTAAATGTAAATATAAATAATATTATAATTATAATAATTAATAATAATATATACAAAAATTTTAGATACAAAAATTAATAATTTTAATTTAAAATAATTTATTTATTTTTTTGATATTTTATATTTTTATTTTTTTATTTAATTATTTTTAGTATTAAAATAATATATTAAATAATTTTAATTAATAAATTTATAAAATTTTTTAATATAATATTAAAATTTTCAAATTTTTATAATTTTTATTAATATTTAAATTTTATCAAATTACATTTTAAGAAATTTAATTGTAGAATCTTTAATAGCACAAAATTTTCCAAATTTTTGTAACAAAGAAAAAATTTTTTGTTTTTGAAATCTTCTATATAATTCAGATTTTAAGTTATTAAAATATCTATCATCATTAAAATAAAAATAAGTATTTATATAATATTTTAAATATTTTAATTTAGACCATCCTTGATCTTGTTTAAGATTTCTTGTATGATTAAAATACATATTAAATCTTAAATCTTTAGTATTATTTTAAATACATTAATCCAAAGTAATAATTTTATATTTAGAATCTTATATATATATATTTAAAGTATCAATATTTAATTTCAAGAAAATAAATTTTTGTTGTTTGTATTTTTTAGGTATTGCTCTAATACAATTTTCAATAAATAAAAACTAGATTTTATTAGCTAATAATTTTATTTCATTATTATAATTATCTATAGATTTAAGTAAAATTAAATTTATATAATTTCTAATTTGTATTTCAAGTTCAGGATCATTTAAAGATAAAGATTCAATAGAAATTAATAGTTGTTGATTATTTTGAAAAGTAATATGAATAACACATTGTTCAATATCAAAAATTTCAGGTAATAACCAAATTGTATTTGATTTTTTTATTATTTCAAAGATTTCTAATATTCTAATATTATTTAAATTATTTGAATTTGAATCGCCAAAGTATTTTTTAATAAAAAGTATTGTTTCAAAACTTTGATTAATAGTTTTTATTAAAATAAGTAAGCAAATTCTAAAATATTTTTAATTTAGAGAAAATGGTTGTAATTAAGAATTAAGAGAAAGATTGTATATATTTAAAAATCTTTTAAGTTTTGCAATTTTAAATTTTGATATAAGCTTAGTTGGTATAATATAAAAAAAATTTGTTTTAAGAAATTTAGGTAATTTGTTTATAATTATATTTAAAATTTGATGTATATATTCAAACTTAATTCTATATTCTAATCTTGCACTATAATTAGTATTGGTAATTTCATTTAATATACTAATTAAACTGTTACAAGCTTCTTGAATTTTTTGAGGATATCATATAGCATCATCTTCAGTTAATTTTGTTAAAAGAGTAGCAGTTAAACTTAAAAATGCTTCTTTTTCTATATGATATGTTTGAGCATAATAAATTTCATTTTGATATTCAGTTATTTTGACTTCATCAGCAACGTCACAAATATCATAAATATGAGCCCAATTATCAATTCTTGAAGTTGTAGTATCAGTAGAAAAGGTAATACCAATTACTTGTAAAAGATTTATTGCAGAATTTCTTAATCAATAAATAAAATTAAAAGAAATGTTATTTGAAATAAATTTAATTTCTAAATTAATTTTAGTATTATTCTTTTAATTAGTATGATTTAAAGAGAAATTTAAATAAATAAAACTTAAAAGAATATTATAAATATCAACTAAATTATTAAATTTTGTATAAACTTTAATATTTTTGAATAAATATAATAGAAATAATTTTGAAATTTTAATAAATTAGAAGTTAAATTGATTTTTGTATATATTGTATTAGAAAGATTTAATAAATAAATTTAAAAAAAAGGATATAATAAATTAAAACAAATACCATTGTCTTTTTTTGATTTAAGATAATAAGCATTAAAAGTAGATAGATAATAATATAAAATATCTATTGGACAATTAATATCTTTTAATAAAATTAAAAAAATTTAATCATACCAAATAGATAAATCATTATTAGTTAAAAAATTTTGGTTTTTTGAACTAGGAATATATATTTTAGAAAAAAATATCAAAATTTTAAAAACACTACAATTACCAAATTGAGCAAATTAAAAATAAGAAATATTTTATTATTTTAATTTTTTTTTGATTATTTTGATTATAAATATCTATATATTCATAATTATGATGATTCAAATTTCACATATAATTGTAAATGGAAAAAATTGAATTGGTTTTGTAATAATGCTAAACTAGAAATATTTAATAAAAAAGAATCAATATCAAATTTATAAGAAATTTGATTTAATAAAATTATTTTAAATTGACTAAAATCAATTTGTAAAAAAGATTGAGAACTATCATTATTGTAATTAATAATTGAACTATATAAAGCAGTTTTAATTTTAGATAAAGAAGTATTATTTTGTGAAGTAGGATTCAAAAAAGTTTGGATATATTGTAATAAAATATAAGAATCTCTATTTCTAATTATTAAAGAAAAAGAAATTGTTGAATAAGTAAGAATACAATTATATATATTAGAAAAAACTGTAAATTCAAGATTACTATTAGTATCAAAATTACTAATAGTTTTATTATCAAAATTACTAATAGTTTTATTATCAAAATCAAAATTACTAATAATTTCATTGTTAAAATTATCTATAATAGAACTATTATTATTATCAATAATAATAGAATTTAATTTACCAAATTGATAATTATTAAAAGACATTATGTTTTAAACAAAATAGAAGGTTTTAAAAATAAAGTTATAGAAACTTATTAAACAAAAGGCAAAAAATAACTTACTTTTATAAAAAATTTTAATTATTGTAATTGTAAAAACTTATTTATAACAAAATACATAATTGGAATTCTAATCTAATTAATTTAATTAATTAGAATTCTAATTCTAGTTTATTTACTTAACTGGAATTCTAATTTCAGTTAAATTTAATTAGTCAAAATACTATTTCTGATTAATTTTAATTCTAATTAATTTTAATTAATTAAAATTTTAATACTAAAACCCCTAATTCTGATTAATTTTAATTAACTGAAATACTAATCCTAATTAATTTTAATTAACTAGAATTCTAATTCCAGTTAATTTTAAAGTATATCATTTTTGACTTCTTTTTAGTATTAATTTGATTTAATAATAATCTCTTTTTTTCTCTTTGTTTATGATTAAAAACTAATATAAACTATTTATTTTATTCATTATTTAAATTTTTTTTGGTATTAAGGTGAGATCTTGCTTATATCTTTATTAGTAGTTTAAAAATTAGTAGCTATGTGGAGCTGCTATATACAAAAAGTAATGTCTATATAAATGCTATGACTAAAACCAACACTTGTAATCAGAGCTAAACCATTAAACTGCTAACTATATAGCTACTTTAAGTACAAATAAAAAAAAAACTATATTCAAAAATAAAAGCTTAGACATATTTATTTGTAATCTAAACCTACTAGAGTAGTTAGAACTTACCTTGATTTGAAAGTTTAGAATATAGTTATAAGAAATATTGTATTTGATCCAAAGAATAGTTCAGATATTGATTTTATAAATAGCATAGCCAATGGGTAGACAGGTATTAGAATTAGAGTATATTGATCAAATAGTTCATATAGACAAGAATAAGTATAATTTATGCAATTGGAGTTTTTTTTGTTGCTTTGATTTAATTGAAGTGAGAGTCTGATATAAGATAGTTTAAATCTTTGTTGTTGTTTTCAGTTAGCAAAGTTTATACAATATGGTTTTCATATTTGTTTGTAAGAAAGTTTATTAACTTTAAGCAAAATAGCAATAATTGTTTGTGAGCTTAGTTTGTATAAGATGCTAAAGTTTTGTATAATATCAATTAGAGATTTAGGAATAAGTCTTTTGAGTATAATATTAAGATAGTGTTAATTTGTTTGAAAAGATATAGGATAAAAGGCATAATTGTTATTGATTTTGTAAATAAGTTCTTTTTGTTAGTTTTTAGACAAATAAAGGTCTATATAATTAATGTATTCAGAAATGCTAGTTTGGATAATATTAAAAATAAGTAATGGATTTGAGCATGTATGCCAATAGGTTGGGAAGTTGGCAAGATTATAGTTAAAAACAGTTAGTATTATAAAACATGTATGGGCAAGTTTTGTGAAAATGAAAATAAGTAGAAAGTTTATTTAATAAGATTTTAATTTTAAATAATTTAAGGTAGTTGAGTTTAAAGTTAGTAACATTATGATTTGGTTTTTGGTTATGGTAAAAAAATAACCAAATTGATCTCCAATTAATTTAAAAGACCAGGGCTTCCTATTCTATGTTATGTTTTTAGGAAGACCACATTGCTAGAATGTAGGCTTTATAGATATTTTTAGTAAAGCTTTTAGTTGGATGTTTGATAAAATGTTGATTCAAAAAAATTATATAATATAGATTGTAGATGTTTGTATAGTTGAAGTATAGTGTAGGTGATATATTATGTTGTTTAGCTAGTAAGTCTGCTAAATTATTAAGAATGTTATCAGAGTGGACTTGTATTTTGTAAAAGTTAATCTGGTAATTATAAAATTTAATAATATTAAGCAGAGTATGCCATATAGGCCATGAGCTGAATTTGAAAAGCTTGTTAAGATTTGAGAGAATAGAATATATTTTAAAATATTTAGTAATTATAAACTAAAAATTGGTAAAGATATTGATTGTTGAGTTGTGAGAGGTAATTAAAACAGCTAAAAGAATTAATATTAGTTCAGCTTTATAAGAAAATGGCTAGTAATCAATTTTGGCTAATAATTTGTAAATTAAGTTGAAATCATTAACTTGTACTTATCCAATATTCATTGTATATTGATCTGTACTGATGTCAATTACAGAGCCATCAGTATAGAGTTAAATATATTTTGTGCTATATTGATAAAGGAATATTGTTCAAGTATACATGTAGCTTCTTTTTGCTTAAAAATTTCTGATATAGAAAAGTCAGAGATATAGATAATAGGGGCAGAAGATAGAAATAATGGATTTTTAATTGCAGTTAAATAAATCAGATCAATATAGCTTGCATTAAAGTTAAGAGCATTAGAAGAAACTCTTTTAAGAAATTAGATAGAAATTATTGATGATACATTAATTATACAGTAATTTGCAACTCTATAAGAGTTGAAATAACAGTTTGTACAAGCTGAGCATTGAATTGATAAAAGGGAGTAGTGAGTAAAAAGTTCTGTATTAGTATTTGTTTTTTAGTATGCAATAGATATTTGATTGTTATTTTTAAAATATCTGTGAATTTTGCTAATAATAATATTATTATTGTTATATGTTAGTAACCAGAGTTTAAGTTTTTTAAAGATGTATTGAGAGTTGTAAGTGAAAAGACTATGTTCAGTTTGTTAATATTGTAGAAGTAGTATTCTAGAGCTGTTGTTAATAGTTATAGTATTTTCTAGATATATAAATCAAGATGGCTTACATCCTTTAAGTAGTTGTACTAAGCAAGTTAAGAGATATTTTTATTGAAGTAAGATAGTATTGTCTGCAGTGCTAAGTTGTTTAAGATACAAGATATTAAGTTTTCTAAGTTGTTTTTTAAAGGTAGTATATTGAGAATAGGAGGACATGATTGGTTCAAGTGATTGAAGGTTGTATTGTATAGTATTGGACTAGAATACACTATTATTAGCTGTTATAAACATGTTAATATATTGTTATAGAATAAATTATTATTATTTTATTATTATTATTAGTTATTATTATTTTATTATTATTATTATTTAGTATTAGTTATTCTATTA